TCACCTCGCGACGGCGGGGGGGTTTGTTTGGTGTGCAAGTGCCATGTTGGATGCTAAATTTCGTTCTGAATTCTGTTTTTGATTATTTTTGTTTAATTGATTGAAGCATATTTTTATGTCTGAAATTTTGTTGGTATTATTTAAGGCGATTTTAATCTTGTTTGTTTATATTCTGAATTTTGCTCTTTTATTTGTTAGGAATAAATGATAGGGTGTAAAGACTGTTTAATATTGATGTATTCAAGCGATTATTATAGATATTTGTTAAGTATAATAATTCATAGTTGATTTAATTTTAGTAGTTACGATTGGTTTTTTAACATAAAGAGTATTTATATATGGAAATTTGTATAGAAGGTTTGTTTAATCCTAGAGCTTAGGTTTACGTTTCCTAACTTTCAGCTACTATTGATGTTGGATAATTAACTTGGATGCTATGAATAAGAATAACTATTGACTTGAACCAGCAAGGAACGTGCATGAAATTTGTTTTTCTGAATCTACTCGTCAGTGTTTTCATTTGATGCTTCTTCAAAGAAGGGAACACTCACGAGCGCGGCGTCGTTTTGAATCCAGAGATCGGAATCCTCTCGATATCGTTGAAGGGCTTCCCGGTACTCCGATGGCCACTTGCTTAAAGGAGCAATGCCCTGCAACATGGACAGCCCGCAGCGTCGAAGGAAGGGATGTGCATGTTGGCGAAACTTTCTTTCCATACCTTGAATCACCTTCAACGGGTACTCCGCCGCATAGCTGGATAACTCAGCGACAACATATGCGGCCGCACCTGCGTGAAGAAGATTTTTTTCGAGCATCTCCATAAGGTGGGATTCTAAGAGATTTGCATTACCAAACAGCACCAGCTTACATATCAGTGTGGGTTGGCGGCGTCTGTTGATAAGACGCCTATACAGCTCTTCGGCTATTCGTTCCAATCGTGCGCTGCGGGCTAATGGTGTGTATCGCGGGCATTGGAGAAGTAGCATCTGGATGGCTGTGGCGATATCGTGATCGTCTGGCAGGCTGGCCAGACGCTCTGCAACTTCCTCGGGGGAGATATTACGATATTGAAGAATATGCCGCATTGCGAATTGCCCAAACCCTAAATTTGAATGACTTAGGAATCCAAACGCTTCCTCGATTGTGGTTCGATTTCCAAGGATATGACTCGTCGAGAGGCGTTTCATTGCCTCCAGCTGGACGGTGACGTCCGCACTCTGGAGGAGTGCGATAATAAGCTGGTTCATGCGCTCCAGTTGCCAGTTGTGATGCAGGCTACCATCATCAATGCTCAGCACCGCAATGCATTCTGCCGAACGCGAGCTTTTAACCCCATTGTCGTAAAAGTCCCAAACCTTCTCATGATCCAAGTAGTTACGAAACGCATCCTGCATGGCGAGCCTGACGTCCTTATGCATGCAATCGTCTTCTTTGCAAAGCTGCATAAGGCACTCAAGTGCGTTTTCGTCGGCAAGTGCACCGAGGAAGCGCACTAGATATTTCTGTGCGGATACTAGCTTGCATGTTTTTAGCGCGGATGATAGAATTTCAACTACATCGCGAACCGGGTAGAACCTTAGTCTTGAGGAAAGCGCCAGGGTAGCCTGACGCTCACGAGAATCTTGAATTGCATTCTTTAATTCTTCCAAGGACGCCGCGTCGCTCAGTTGACGGAGGGCAAACACCGCGGTATCGCGGGTAAAGAGATCTTCCTGATCGTTTTGTACATACTGCTGGAAGTCACCATCGATTGTGATGGAGGGAAACTTAGTGATATGCTCGAAGAATTTTCGTGTGGTGAAATACGAGGGAGATTCTTTTTCCGAATAGAATCCGAAAAGAATTTTCACCAGGGCGCGCTGCTGCTTCGATGTTAAGCGGTAGGCCCACATAGGATCGGCAAAAGCAAGATATTGATCCAATAAGAACTGCGACGAATCTGATGCATGGTATAGCGTTTCCAAGGATTGTAACCAGAAGTTGAACAATTCACCTTGCTGATACTTGTATAATACCATGCCGACGATCCTGTCCATCACCACACCTTTCGTATGCAGAATGTCAGGAACGATTTGGTAAATCGTTTCGTGGCGAAATGCATTGTAGTAAAATTCAAGCGTAGAGCTATGTCCTAGGGGATCATCCAGGGCCATGTAGCAATCATAAATGGGCTTAAGAATATTTTTTAAGAGTCGCTGTTTCGGCCTGAGCTCGTTCTTAATGCTGTTTGGCAATGCATGTTCGTTTTTTTGTATCAGTTCTTTGATTTTGGGCAAAAGTACTGAGAGAAACTTTTCGACGGAAGAGCAGGATAGCTTGTCTAGGCCATTTATCCAGCATATATCGCGTTTAAGGAATAGGAGGATCTTTTCCGCAGCGTACACCGGAAACTTCTCCGAGATCCGCACGAGGAATCTCTGCGCAAGCGTCAGGCTGTATTCTGAAATGTCTTTTGCATCAAAGCTATCCTGAATCAGTTTATCGATGTATCCCAGATGCTCCTGACTCCAGACATTCAAGGGAAGATCTGTGAGGGACTCAAACATCGCCGTTCGCCACGGATCCTGCTCATTCTTTTGCTTCAGGATGAACGTAAGAATGTCGATTATGTGCTCTGGATAATAGGCGACACCGCTAATCAGCGAGCCGGCGCATTTACGACGGATTTCCGGCTTCGGATAAGTTATAAACGGCCGGCCAAGTTCCCACGCCTCGTGGAATGGAAGCAAGCTGAGGTATTTGAGGCGCGTATCCAGGGAGCTCTGCAATTCCTTGAGATGAAACATCTGCTTCGCCGTTTTTTCTCGAAGAGCCCGGGATGGGATGTGGCGCGCTACTCTCATCGGTACCACGTTATTATTCTTTCCAACACACACGTGACGGATGACCTGTTTGTAAAGCTGCTCGCGTGCAGAGTTAGGAATCATGCGGAATAGATCCTCATCGATCCACCCCATTTTATATAATTCTACAAGAAGAGGTACGTTGCTTTGCAGCCTTTTTAAAGTGCGTCTTGAGTTTAGTCTTATCATAGAGATCTGCAACTCCTCTTTATGCTGAATCATGTATTCGAGCGTATCTATTGTTCGCACGCGGATGTAGATCCTGAGCGCACTTATCGCTTCTGTTTTGCGCGAGTTTGATACACTAAGTGCTTCCTTCATGAGTTTCATACCAAGGTCTACTTCTTTCTTTCGAGATAGTACACCCAACGCACTTGCCGCGGAAAATATTCTAGAGTCCACGAGATTCAGCAAAGCATTGTTCATCCCACAATCTTGAGCATGCTCAGTATCCACATCCTCGGGGTTGTGGTTTTCATTATTCATGCGCGCCTTGAGTTCAGTAAGAATTTTTACCATCAAATCAGGATACCGGACGGTCAATATGCGGAACACTTCATCGGGAAGCGCAAATAGATCGTTTACTGAAAGACTTCTTAGCTCATCTTCAGAAAGATGAGCGTGGAGCTTTTCCATCTTTCGAATGGAGGTAATTTTGTGAGCCTTTCGAACCAGAGACGAATTACCATCCCTTTTCTCTTCACCCTGTGCGGAGCGGTCGAGCTGTTTCTGTTCCCTATATAAGTCATGCATAATGTGGGACTTCCCACACTTCGTTATGATATTGTTCAGTACTGTGAATTGAATTGTATGTGCCTGTACGAGAACCTCCTTGAGTGCTTCGTCTGTTGAAACTTGGACCAAAGGGGTAGCCACCAGCTTGAAAATATTCGATGATGGATCCAGCACAAGCTTAGCGAGGGCCGTCATAACGTCTGGTGGGGGTTGACGTTTTTGCTCAAGGGCCACCGCGACCATTCCGCGGAGCGACATGGCAGCCAACATGCGCTCATAGTGCACTCCCGAGCGCGATAAGGAGACCAAAACCACTCTGAGGCGGTCGCCATGTAGTTCTCCTTCAAGCGCTGCGTCTTCACCTAACGTAAAGGGCCGCATACTTCGTCGGCCAAGCTCCACCATCGTTTTCCATCGCTCAGAAAAGGAAAGTTTCTCCAAAGGCTCAAGTAGATTATTTATGTCAGTATCGAATTCCATCCTTCCTCGTGGCTCCTGGCACAGGATATTAAAATCTATATGTACTGCTGAATTTGCTTTGGAAATAAAAAAATAATTGTAGTAAAGAGAGCTTTGCTATGGTAAATGGTACGAATAGGTATACAAAAGACCGAATGGCGCACATTCATCTGGCGGACGTTTTAAAATTGAGGGTACCCTCCCAGTGTGTCTTTACTGATGAAAGCCTGAATAGCTGATACTACTCTGCTTTAGACTTTTCAAGCATTATGCACATGTAGAAGATACCTTTTATACACCCCCTCTGTCTCCTACTGCTTAGGGAGAAATGCAACAAGAGCATGAAGGGTAGTTTTTTATAGCAAAAGAATAGACAGACTGTTTCATCGCCTCGAGATGCGAACAATAGGGCAAGAGGCCATTTCAAAAATAGAGCACTTTCCCGAAATCGTGCAAGCGATATACAATGACGTATAGCTCGCCTTATTAGAGAGTACGAATCCTTCAAACTAGCAACGATAGGAGTTAGGAATATCGCAACTGCCCTCCATATCATGCCCAAAAGATCAGACAATTATAAAAAAAGTTAGCCTGGGGTTAGCTAAGAGGTAGCTCGAGCATATTTTTCCTGTACCTGCTTTCCCATTACAGTGAACGAAACACCAGACGGACATGTAACTGAAACAGAGTAACGATGGGCTAGACGTAAGTTTACATACGGGAAAGGGCGCTGCGGCTAAATTTGTGTGTAAATTCCTGTTTGTGAAGACTGTACTATTATGAAATCTTAAAGAGCCGTATCACAATGTAAGAAACATCAGATTCACATCCCGTGATAGACACTGCATGATGACAAAGGTATGCATATAAGGAAGCATTCATCGATATTCATGTAAGGGAAGCGATACAACACCAGAAAAAGAAGGTGAAGAATGTAATAGAAATATTTGTACCTAAAAGAATAAGATATCATAAGGCCATAAATACTCCTGAGAAGGTTTGATAGGTGCGAGCAGCATAAAAGACACCATAAAAATGGTATCAAGAGCCCAGAAGCAGATGTAAGTGTACACTACTATGTTTACTCTTCACACGGGAAAGCTGCTCCATACTTATCATGTTAGTTATACTGACCTATTGCTACAAAACACGCCAACCAAGAATGAGTAAATTAAACAATTATCCAGCTCCCTGCGGAGATTTTTTGTAAAATTGCACCACTATAAATGCACCGGATAGTTAATGATACATGGGATTTCCTGATATTTATAGTTAACTATTCTGCTACTGTAGCAGTGTAGGAAAAAGGCTTTTTATTTTTCCACCCCCTTGATCTGTAGTGATGCGTTGGAAAATGAATTGTGGTGCTTGTTCTGATATTTTAAGCACCTCATGTAATTTCACCACAGTTGCCTGCTTTTGCCTTCCCTTCGTGTGGGGAATATGCAAGAGGGGGCAGGGAAATGATATTTTTTAACTAATCAACCCTAGAAATATACTTTTTGCGGATCTCCAGGGTCCTTTTAGGGCAAAAAACTTTTTATCTAGGATATACACAATGGTAGCAGCACTGGATGCTGCACACATCAAACAGAATGCGGACACCACAACCTCAAATCCAGCAGATAAAACGAAAAAACGACCGCTATAGACGTACATACCGCTGCACCAGTTGGTATAATACACCTTGAGCTCCAGTGCAAATTGAACGAGCGCGATGATGCACCCAGAGTAGCTGAAGACGACAGCCGGTATGATGGTACCTGAGAGCCTTAACCAGAGCAGTAATCCCGTAATGAATGCAAAAAAGTTTATGGAAACAGAAGCAATACTGATCCCTTCGATCGCCTTGAAATGTTTAACCAGAGCGGGGCAATTAAGATCCGAGACGTATACATAATATCGGGGTGCATGGGAAGTGTGATTCCAGTTAAAGTTACCTTCACGATGGTACCACAATAGAACATCGGACACTCGTTGAGTTATATCGTCTTTGTAAAACCAATGCGGAATAAAGCACGCCAATATTGATAAGATGAAGGCAACGAGGGTAGATAGCAAAAAAGCTACACTACAAATGCCTAAGGAGCGAGCATCCAACGGGATCGTGATGTTGTTCCCAGCAATGTAGGTGGTGCAAATTGTTATAACCCACGCCATGACGATTAGAACATAAGCTGTATGCGGTTCAAACAATCTCACGCGGTAGCTAGGCTCTGGGCAATCCGAAAAGCTCCAATAGTAAATGCTAAAGTTGAAAGCAACTGCTATTGAGAGCCCAACTAACGTGCAGCCTAACGACGCCTTCAGGGCTTTACGCATTTTTACATGTCCTTTCTTCAAAACACAGGCGACACTCAGGCCTAATGTTAGAAGGGCCAGGACAGCTGAGACAATTACGAATGTTTCCAGAACTTTTGTACGCACACGAATAGAGTAACAGTATTCATCTGTGTTTATCTTTGCGATTTCCGTGCCGTTCACCCAAAATACTGATTTGAATAGATAAACAATTCCTTCAATCTTGTAGGTATCTGCTGTTAGCTCCACGTATTGCCGTTTGCAATACCACGGAAGACCAATCGATGCCAAAGTGAATACTACGACAGGGATCATCAAGAGCAGAACATGTTTAGGGCCTAGTGAGACGTCGCGTGGTGGTGGTGGGGGCTTCGGCGGTCCCATCCAGCCATTTTCCTCATTCGAATTCTTATATTCGTTGAACGGCTGATTGTCGCTTGTTTCTGATACCTTCTCGTTCGGAGCCATCACTCTGGTTTCATCCGAATTATTTAACAATAAACAGCTATGTTCTTTATTAATACTATTATTAACCATGCTGTTATATTTTTTTTGATCTTAATACTTACTTTGATTTAGTTTTATTTCTACTTGTCACTGAATCACTTTTAGGTTAAATGGCAACGAAAGCTTGGTGAAGTGGGAAAGACAAGCAGGTAGACAATTTCACAAATTATGAAACATAACAAGGAAACACGAGGGTAGAGTACCACAACACATCGAATTTGTAGAACGGGTAAATAAGCGAAGAGCTTGTATGCGGCGTTGCAGTGTGTATTTGAGCAAGCAAACACCTGGGTGCCGTCGTAAGAGTTGAATCACACATGCATATAGACTAGTAAACAGGGAGAGTCAAAGAGGAAAGACCCATAGTTTGCCAAATTGATCCACAAAGGTTCACTTCAAATACAAGTTCCTATTACATGAGCCTTACACTCATAGAATTTGTGCTTCCTAGTCGTCATTACGCTGTCTTGTGAACTTTTAGTATAACCCGTCTCATTCCACCTTCTTCATCCATATGGGCTACTTCCTCGGTTGTGAGCCCGAACCTCGACGCACACTGCGCGAACTCGAGGGAGCCGCCGTTAGTGCCAAAGTAGTACACCTTTGTGGCGATAAATGCGACCCCCGTGACTGGACGTAACCAGCGCTGTAGCAGCTGGCTCAGCTTCCAACATGCGTCGTGGTCAAACGTAACGTCGCTGCCAAGCACGACGTCGCACCCGGCAACACACATGCCATCGGCTCGCTCTTCGTCACCGAAAGGATCAGACCACCCTAACTTCGCCCAGTCCCCATGAACCAACTGTACCCGCACCTCCTTTTTTGACACAGAACCCTCTTCACGGACCAGGGGGCAGGATCGTCCATTTCCCGCGATCGTCGCCCCAATGTTCGGCTTCACACACAGCTCCAGGACTTCCTTGTTGTAGTCCTGCAGCACCACGGTCCGTGCACCCACGCAGATCGCCGCCAGGGCCGGTAGTGCCTGCCCACAGCCAACCTCCGCGAAAACGAGGGAGGACACCTCACGGCCAAATACCCGCGTCGCATCCCGCCAGATGGGTTCCAGGGAAATCACATACCGCGCCAGGTCCGGGGCACAGGACCACACCTTAAGCCCCCCATAGTACCGCCCGGGGATGATATCCCGGAGCTCAGGGGTCGTCCTCGCGCCCCTGTCGCTGCCCGGAGCTCGTCCCTCGGATTCCCCTCCCGATAGGGGGGCATACTCCACCAAGCTTCGCAGATCGAGCGCGGTTTGATAATAAAGAGTGCACGCTTGGTCCCCTGATGCGGAGAGTGTTAGTGATAATGGGGAAGGCTTTCCACTAAACGCGGCGTCAGCCGGCTCGCCTTTGGGAGGATCTCCCGCTTGCCTTTTCGTTGCGCACGCACGCCACGGGGCGGTCCCTTTTCTTGGATGCTGATCGAGTGGTGGGGATGTCAAGGGGTAACAGGAGAGCCACGATTGCAGTACGTTTTCTTTAAGCGTGTACCATGGGAAGCGAGCGAGTGGGATTATATCTTCGACTTCTGCATGTGGCTTTGGTGGCGATGGTGGGCTGGCCTCGGCGTGATTATCGTCACCAAAGGAAAAGAAGAACCCAGCGTTAGTGGAAGACGACATATTCTTTTCACCACGCAATTTGAAGAGATCGTGAGACTCCCTTTCAATATTGGTCCGTTCTTATGGTATGTAGAGCACTTAAAAGGGAGTGGAGGGGGAAGGAGGAGGAGGGATTAATGCCAATTGGAAGTATGCATGTGATGTGTGCCACTTTGTGTGAGCGATAGTGGTGAGAGAGAGTGTGGGTGTGAGAATTCAGGACAATACACAATATTTGGCGTATTTCTGTACAGTATTAGAATTTGGAATTTCATCTAGCACTAATTTCGAAAAACCTTATGTTCTCAATTCCATCTTAACCATACGGATATATTCCATTCGCTACGTATACAGCCGACCCAAACTGAAAAATGAGCTGTGCTTGACCTGCTGTTTTTCAGCAAAATCGTACGATGTGTAGCCGCGCCCATTTAGCATTGTTTCGATACTCTTGGAGTACAAGTGATTCGTTGAACCGTTGTAGAAATCGTTTATGCTTCGTGGAAAGTGGTTGTTTAGGTAGCGTTGATATGCATTCTGAAAGCGAATAAACGGATTGCGGTGTTTTTGCCGCTGATAATATAGGCATCTGTCCGTCAGCGCACGCAGCGCATCACCGTCAACGCCGCGCTCATCGCTGTACTGCTTTACAGCGTCGTAGAAATGTCGTGAGTAGGCATCGACCTGGTTGAGCAAGTTTACTCCATCCTCGAGACCAAGCGCAAGCCCTTGCATCCAGAAAGGATGACAGGTGTGCGCTGCATCCCCAACCATAACAGCAGAGGGTAGGCCAACGGTGTTGAACAGATTTTCGCAAAATATAGTTGGCGTAGGACGGATGCACGACGTGAAGGATCTAAGCTTCGCATTGGGATCATGACGTGCTACATCTGCGAGAAGATATTTGAGAACGTCTTCATCACTTAGCGCTTCCAATTCTCCAATGGGCATGTACACCATCACAGAGAACCAATTGATTCTATCAATGCGAGGGAAAGCTGTACACATTGGGACTTGGTAAGCGGAGCAGACGTGGTAGGACTCCGCTGACGTCACTGGATTCGTCTTCCTTTTCCTTAGCCAGCGGTGAATGTGCTCATGGCTGAGGGTATCGCTTTGTAGAAGGAACCACTTCGTGCCCATGTCGATATCCGCGGGGAAACCCTCCACATCGAGGAGATCGCGCAACCTCGAGTTTACCCCCTCTGCACAGACCAACAGGTCATAGTCCACTGCGTCATCTGCGTAGTTGGCATCCCACTTCATAGAGCTGAGCACCAAGCTTGTATTCCGCCGTCGCTGAGGTTGCGATTTGACCCTCGCTACCACCATTGCTGTGCGGTCCTGGAGGCTGTTTGAGCTACCTCCATCTCCGGCTTGTCGGCTAGAAGGTGCAGCGACCTCTAACATTTGGTCCACTTTTTCTGTTGTCGATAGCACACTTTGCGCCCACGGGCGCACCACCACCTGCTGTCGGAGAGGATACGCAGCCTCGATGACGTGTTCATAGAAAACTTGTACATTATGGTTAGGAAGCTGATTGACATGGTCCGCAAGATAACGTCGCAGTTCGAAGAGGTCAATGGAAAGCATACGAACGGCGAAGGGGTGGTGCTCCACGAGGCCGTATGTCAACCAGTTGTTGTAGTCCCCTGGGTGGTCTAGGATCCCGCTCACGGGCACGCCCAAGTTTCGGATCATGCCTACCCGCACCCCAGCCATCTCCAGCACATCCACCGCGCGACGAGTCAAAACGGTGTATTCTAAATCAATAAAGGGATGTTGAAAGGGAGGGCTGGCTTGTGGTTCTGGACTACCCACGATACCACCTTCTCTACCACTGGGATACTTGCCCTGATGGGAACCTGTTGAGGAACTTGCGCCTACTTCCAGTGACCCTACGAGGGGATTAGCGCACAGTCTACTATTGCTCTCCTCGTAAGAAGTACCCTGGTGGGGAGCGTTCTGGCTGCCATTTTTTTCGCAGTTGTTGATGTCACTAGCATCGCTTTTAGTTCTCCCTGGGTAGATTGCATCCGTGTCTTTTCGCTCTTCAACAAAGTTAGCCCGTTCCGGGAGGCGAGGGCCCCTCTCCAATACCGTTGTATGCCAGCCTCGAAGCGCAAACAGTGACGCAAGCGTTAATCCCAGAACACCTGCCCCAGAGATGATGACATTGCCTTTGTGCGGGGAGGGCTTGTCGGCCACAACTGGCTGCCAGTGCTCACCTTTCACAGGGTATGCCCGGTTGCTCATCGTTTCAATGTAAAGGTCCCGGGGCAGCTCATTGGATTGAAGCTTACGTCCTGAGCCGTCGGTATAACGATTGGTGGAGCCTAGACAACGAATGCAGCGACGCAGCATAAAGATCTAGTGATAAATTTATCTCCGACTATTCTCTCGCTCAGCGGCGTGTACGTTTTTGGATCACGCAAGCGCCGATATTTCCTAAAAGGTCCACAAAGACCACCTCCTGCAAAGGATTCCATCAATGGGGAGTCAGAGAGAGAGAGAGAGAGAATATTGGAATTCATATACACATATATATATGGAAAGCGAGAGATCAAAAGGAGATTGCCTCGATAAGGACGTGCAACACCAATTGCTTTTGTTATGTTGAAGCATGACATTATATGATGTTTTGTTGCAATTTTTTTAAAGGCTAATATTGAGTCCGCAGATGACTAAAAGGTTTAAGATAACAAACATGGCGCAAAAAAAAAATGTGTCTCATTGCCATGGAGGTATTGTGCTTTCCCTTTTCAAATGCCGCTTTGTTTTCCTTTCCATTCCATTTCATTTCTTGACCTCGTACGATGCATTGACAAGGAGTTCTTCGACCTCGTCGATAAGACGGCAGCTCTTATAGGCACGCACTATCTGCAACGCGGTTGCCTCTGCGACGACCCTAGAGCGGCATGTGTGAACAAAGGCTTGCCACAAAACTCGGTGATTTTCGGCTGAGAAGTGCTGTGGACGCCGTTGAGTTACTTCATCTGTGGTAGCAACTTCACCGTGTTGGGTCCTGACGACTTCCACAACCCCACTACACAGAAACAGGAAATCCATCATCGCTCGCGCGGCGAAGTCCTCCTGTTCCCACTCGTGCTGCCCAAGCCCACGGGAATCCCGGGCGGCTTTTAAGGCGGAAAGAAACACCTTCACCCCTTCCACGCGCGAGTAGGGCTGACTCCAGAAAAGCCGGTAAAGATGCCGTGTCACCGCCGCATCGCCAACGGCGGCGTGGAGGAGCCGCACGAGGAGGTGTTGGGGCACCAACGCCACAGGCCGCACGGGGGTGCCGGGCCGCTTTCCCTTGTCAAGATGCAAGAGGTCGTGACACGCGCAGACCACCGCGACCAGCCCTTTCTTGACCTGAAAGGGAGCTGTGGGGCCGTTCCAGAACTCGCGTTTGGGGGTATAGGTGTAGTCCTCGAGGCCGGTACGGAAGTCCTCCCGGGGGTTCCTGGTAGTTCCCTCTTCCCCCTTTTCCGCGGCACCCCCACACAGGCGATCGAGGATGCCGAGGAGCATGTGATGCTGCACCGCCGTGGCGCCCCCGTGGGGGAGGGTGCTGAGGGACATCCGCACCGCCTCGATGGCGTCTTGGAAGGTCGGCGACGCCTCGATCACCGCCTCGGAGAGGGCCATCGAGATGAAGTGTTTCGTGTGTGGAATGTGCCGCAGAGACCAAAACACGCGCAGGACGGTTTCTTTCGGCAACAGGTTCGGATGATGGAGCAGGGCCGTGGTCCAAACTCTCCACGCCTCTTGGATAGCCTTCCCACCTGCAGCCCTTTCGATGGGCTTGGAGGACGAATTCGAAGCCGCCTCGGAGGCCTTCTCTAGCTCTGCCGCTTCGGGACGCCGCCTCGCAGGGAGCTTAGACTCAAGGCGCTTAAAGGCTTCATATTCGCCCGGCGAGGACTTCAGTAAACAGGAAACGGCCGATTTGACGGTCTCTTCACTCAACGACGCCGTATGCCCATGCGCAGTTTCGATGTGAGTGTCTTCCTCACCATCGACCCCGTGATCTCTTGCTCTGTTTCGCTGAAACCGATTCCAGAGTTCCGTTCCGTGCATCGGGTGAATAAGAAGCGTCGAAAAGGAGAGGAATCTCTGCATCCGCCCCAATTTCTCGTCATAAGTTGGAAAACCGGTCAACGGTGAATTCTCAAAGGTAGCCGAAAACACGTGCAGGGGACGCGCCAGGGCCAGTCGTTCCACATAGCGAGGCTGACGATACGCTTCTTGACGAAGCCGTGTGGTCGCGCTCGCAACACGGCCCCTCAGACTCCGCTCCAACGCTGAAAGAAATTTGATGAAATCTTCAAAGGCGCCTTCTCTCGCGTGTCCAAGATCTGCTGCCTTTTCGTCCGTTTTAGTATCACCACAGGAGGATCGTAGCTCAGCATGCTTCTGAGTGGTCTGAACTAGCGAGCTCGCGAAGGATTTGAATTCATCTGAAAAGCTCCCACTCCCGTTCGGTCGATTGAGCGACGCGAAAAGTGCGGCGACAGAAACGGGTAGAAGGCGGGCTAAAAATGACATCTCTTCGTCCGAGGTCCTTCCGCTGGGTTCTTGCGCCCGACGAGAAAGAAGCAGCCTCTCGCAGATCCACCGCAGGTCCTTCCACGCCCCTACAAGAATAGCAGTCTGCAGCCCACTACGCACCACATCGGCATTCTCCCACAACAAGGATGATTGCAAGGATCCTGTTGCGGTTAAATCAAGCAGGGCGGTGGAGATGGGTTCCCGTACCATCACGTATAAATCACGCAGGATTGATTGAGTCCGCGCTTGATCTGCCTCAATCGAGCGCAGCATGCTTTCGGTTGTGCTGCACTTTTCTCTTGATCGTATCCCTGTCGTGTATGGTGGGGGTTGTTGCCTCAAAAGCTTTTCCAGGCGTAGCTCAACAAGGCAGCCTTCCAGGGAGAGGAGGCGAAGAAACGCCATCAGCGGCCGCGTTACGTGCGCGAGCCCTGCCGACGCCCGCTGAATCGCGCTCGCAGCAGGGGTGGGAAGCGGGCGATCGACAACGCCCACACCAGTGGATTCCCCCTTTCCCACGCGCATCGCTTCTTCTGAAAATCGCTCCACCAAGGGCGTTTCGAAAAGCAGCTCATGCACATGATATTGAACAAACTTGCACCACTTTTTCAGGGATGCCATAATGGCTGTGGTGGAATAGTTTCCATCTTTGTTTGCTCCATCCCGGTCGATTGTGGGGGGTGGGGAATCTTGAGGCGTCTGCGCGAGGCTACACATAGGGTAGATGCTCGTCATCACAAATGGCAATGAGGACCCTTTTTGAATGACGTCTAGACAGAGGATGAGGCTGTTAATCATCCAAAGCGCGTCTTCTTGTTCGTTCCTTAGATCGGCCTCTTCTTCTTGAGGTCGAATACTTTCATTGGATTTGTCGGAATCATAGAGACCAAGGCACTCACGTAAGATGAGCGCCTCCAGCTGCTCTTGGATATTTAAATCACCCTGCATGTGTTCGATGGTGCAGAAGTGAGCCTTGGGAGATGAAGCCTCGCGTGCGTGCCGCTGAAGATCCTTTATTTCAGTACGAATCTCGTAGAAAATATCCTTCCAACTTTTTGCATGCAACCCTCGATGTGGAGGACCGTCCTTATCAATCCCCTGATCTGGGATGGGGGATCGTGGTGTCTCGGTTGATAGAATGCGGTGGAGCTGCTCACCTGGCGTTGCGCGCTTCCTTAGTGGAATACCCGGTCGTTGTCTATTCGCATGGATTGGCATCTCAGCTTTGTAAAGCACCTGCTCACTGTGGTCGTCGTTGTATTCGTCTTTATGTCCAGTGGGCTGCAGAGTAAGTCGCAGCACAAGGTTCATCCAATAGAGGGTTAAATTTTGCGATTGTGCAGCTACCGCCTCGGATTTCACATGCACTCCTTCGTTTTTCATGATATCAGTCGAGTTTGAGGGATTCTTCCGGGTTGATTCACGTTGCATCGCCACCCGAAGCTCTTCACGAGCTCTCTGCGATCGGTTCTCTGCCTCTCTTGATCTGTTAATTTCACAGAGCGTGGTTTTCACCTCCTCCGACAGCTTATCCCCGGCGATTGAAAGAAGACACTCTAACTCGACCTCCCCGAGTGGCGGCAACGACTGTTCAGGAGATCCCTTGGATGAGGAAACCCGTGCATCCTTTCCTTGCCCGCTCGTAAACGCGAGGGGGGGAGGGGGGGGTTCTTTTCGAATCCGAAGATGGCGCGCCTCGACCTCGGGAAAGCACTGCGAAAGCACCTCCACCGCGAACCCGCGGGGTAACGCACTCCGCAAGAGGGCGCGCACCTTTAAAGCCGCGCGCTCGGGTGCGCCGGAGCGCCGCCGGAGGGCGGGCGCGGGGTGGAAAGGAAGACGCATGCCATCCAACCGGGGGGTTTCTTCTTCGCCCTCCCGCGAGGGCGGCGCCCGCGCTCGCGCCCCGCTTTCGAGGAGTTCCACAAAAAGCCGCTCGCCCTCGCCGCGAATCCACGCCAACCCCGCCTCGACCTCGCCCTTGGCGAACAACCCGTCCTGGGGGTCGGACCGAAGCGAAGAGGGGTTGGGGGGTTCGAGCGCGCAATCCACGACGCCTCGCGTGGCTAAAAACCACGTGATCGCCATCCGACGAAGCGTCGGGGGCGCAGCCGCGGGGGGCAAAACCCTCGCGAAGCAGCGATCCACCCCGGCGAGCTCCTCACGCGCGAGACGACGTTGCCGCCACCACGGCAGCAAACCCCGCCGTAGCACGAGTGGGAAGGATAACAAGAGGGAGTGGATTTGCTTCTCCACCTCCTCCATCCCCCCAAACCACGAAGAGGACGACGACGGAGACGAAGACGAGAGCGTTGGGGGCGACCAGAGGGCGGGCGCCAAACACACCAAAGCCGCCGCGACGACGGTCTCGTCGAGAAGCGAACCCGGCCTCAACGCGGTATCGCGGCGGCGCTCCTTTCCCTGCGACGCGCCGGCCTCAACCTCCTTTGGGGGTCGTCGGAGCAAAAACGCGAGCAAAAGGGCCCCGTTGCTTGCGGACGCCGCGAAATCCCCACCACGCGCCCGCGCGCGATACCACCGATCCACCTCCGCAATGTGTTGAAATGCCTGAGCCAGGCAAACCTTCACGCCTTCCCGACGCCCCCACGCGCGATCGCCGTGGAAAAAATCCAAGGCGGCGAGGAAATCGTGGTAAAACCCCGACGAGGGCGTCGCCCACGCGAGCATCCACGGTAGGAAGGCCTCGATGACCCCTCCACCACCGCCATTTCGCCGGCCATCCGCCGGATTGGATTCGCACAGCTCCACATACGAAAGCTTCCACGCGGCCTCATGGAGGATTCGCAGCTCCCTCGCCCGGAGCTGGGCGTACGGGGCGGTTGGAAGCCCCGTCATGGCGTCGATTCCGCCGGAAATCGCGCCGCCCGTGCGATCCTCCACGAGCGCGCAGGTGATCGCGTGCACAACGACGAGAAAGAAAGACGTGAAGGGGTTCGCCCGCGCGGGGAGCCCCCCCCCTCCCCGTTGGATCCCGCCACGAGCTGAAGGGAACGGCGAAGATGCGCGACGGGGGCTTGATCGTCTTCGTTGGC